AATTAAATTTCAGGCAAGGGCCCCCTGCCTTGTCAATTTTTATTTCACAAACTAATCATCGTACGAAGAAACTGTAAATAGAAAAAAGTTTCGTTACATCATCCCTGATAACGTGATATTTTTTAAATATTCGACAGAAGAGTAATTCTCAGCTGACACTTCCTTTCATTTCCTTCTCTCGTAAAAGTAATTAAATTGTCAGGAAAAAGGACTTGTACTTTCTCAATTTTTATTTCCGAAACGAAAAGACGTATGATAAAATTGTATATAGAAAAAAGTTTCGTTATAACATCCCTTATAAGGTGATATTTTTTTCAAATTCATCCAATAAGTTATTCTCAGCTAACGATGCTTCTCAGTCCCACCCTTGTAAACCTACATCATTAAGTTTCGGTAAAAATGACTTGTACTTTCTCAATTTTTATTTCCGAAACGAAAAGACGTATGATAAAATTGTATATAGAAAAAAGTTTCGTTATAACATCCCTTATAAGGTGATATTTTTTAAATATTCGACAGAAGAGTAATTCTCAGCTAATGTTGCTTCTTATTTCCACCCTTGTAAACGTACATAATTAAATTTCAGGCAAGGGCCCCCTGCCTTGTCAATTTTTATTTCAGAAACTAATCATCGTACGAAGAAACTGTAAATAGAAAAAAGTTTCGTTATAATATCCCTGATAACATGATATTTTTTAAATTTTCGACAGAACTGTAATTCTCAGCTGTCACTTCCTTTCATTTCCATCTCTCGTAAAAGTACTTAAATGTCAGAAAAAAGGACTTGTACTTTCTCAATTTTTATTTCCGAAACTAATCGTCGTATGAAGAAACTGCAAATAGAAAAAAGTTTCGTTATAACATCCCTTATAAGGTGATATTTTTTTCAAGTTCATCAAATAAGTTATTCTCAGCTGACGATGCTTCTCAGTCCCACCCTTGTAAACCTACATACTTGACTTTCAGTAAAAACGACTTGTACTTTTCCAATTTTTATTTCCGAAACCAATCATCGTACGAAGAAACTGTAAATAGAAAAAAGTTTCGTTACATCATCCCTGATAACGTGATATTTTTTAAACATTCGACAGAAGAGTAATTCTCAGCTGACACTTCCTTTCATTTCCATCTTTCGTAAAAGTACTTAAATGTCAGAAAAAAGGACTTGTACTTTCTCAATTTTTATTTCCGAAACTAATCGTCGTATGAAGAAACTGTAAATAGAAAAAAGTTTCGTCTCATCATCCCCTATACGGTGATATTTTTTTCAAATTCATCAAATAAGTAATTCTCAGCTAACGTTGCCTCTCATTTCCACCCTTGGTAAACGTACATAATTAAATTCCATGCAAAGGCCCGCTGCCTTGTCAATTTTTATTTCCGAAACCAATCATCGTACGAAGAAACTGTAAATAGAAAAAAGTGTCGTCCCATCATCCCTTATAACGTGATATTTTTTAAATCCACGCTTTCCTTCCAATTTCCATAAAAAAGTCGCCTGTAAAGGGTCGAGAATCGTAGTGGAGCCGTGGAAATCACGTAACAAGTCCGAACCTGTCGCAACAGGTCCCGACTGCTCCAACCTCGAACTAGGTGAATAGCCACCCTCGTCCCTTAGCAGAGGTCGGTAAAGGGCCCGAAAGGAGCCCTGATTTCTCCTCCCTCGCTGGAAACCGGAGATGATCCAAAGGAAAGGAAGGATCCACGACGAGGAACGGTCTGGCAAGGGGGTGATAGCGGGTGTGGGGGCTCATGGAGCCGCTCAGGTCCGGGGGTGGTAGGTTCGGATTAGTGTCCGAGGGTATCACAGGAGGGGGAGAAAAGCGGCAGATGGTTGGCGTGGATCCTGACGTGGGAAGCACCGAATTCTCCAAGTTCCCACAGCCAGTGTGCACCTGCCCTCCCCACTCTCTCACCCTGTCCTCTTCCAGGCCTATATAAGCCCCGGGGTTGCTCCTTCGAAGCATCATTCGCTCGCTAGCGTTTCGTTCCGAAGCGTCAGACAATTCAACGAGGTTACACGCATCACCTTGGACACGTTTCCATCGACCGAACCAGTGATCGTTTCCTCCTAAACATTACGCTCGCGCTTTAAAACCGGTTCAGTGCTCGAGTTAATCGCCGAACCACTAATCAACATGGCCACCGCCACCATCAGCCACGTGGTCGAGTACGAGAACGAGACGAACGACAACCTCTACAACCTGAAGATGACTGGGAAGACCACAGCAAGCAGCAAGCGTCTCAGACGAGCCCTGAAGCCACTCCTGAGGTTGCTGAGGAAGAAGACGATCGTTTCGACCAGATCCAAGCTGACCAAGGACCAGAAACCGGTACCTAACGCGGACACCTTCACCGAGGAGGTGGACAACCAAAACAACGCGAACGAGGCCTTGGAGAGGAGACTCCTCGCGGAGCTTCAGGACGCCGAAGAGGGAGCTGCCATCACCGTCTGCTTGGACGGACAGATGACGGTGGTTCCTGTCGTGCCTGGCCAGTGCTACGTTCCCGTTCACTTCGCCCACACCCACGCAGGGGACTTCTACTGGACCACCGTGAACCTGGCGGACAGTGACCTGTGCTACAAGGAACGCGCGTTCTCGCAGCATCAAACACCCGAGATGCAAGTCGCGTGAACGGAACGGGATGGAACGCGACGGGACGTGTCCTCGTCTGCCACGCGTGGACGACAAGAGATCACCACAGTTCCGTCGAAGGATCCGGTGGAGAGATCCGGATCGGATCGGGGCTATTCGTCGTGCCTCGTCGCCTCGAAGATTCGACGAGGAGACCACGAACACTTGGCACTAGCTCGAATCTGAGGATACCGAGGGGATATATCTTGTAAACGTTGCTTCGAAACTGTGATAAATAGATTTTAACCGATCGCCGGGGAACGATGATCGCGGAGGTGTGCGATTAGAGAGCGAGGATTGAGAAAATCTATTTTTTATACTCTCTCTCTCTCTTATATTTTTTTTTTTTTTTATATTCTTCCATTGAATACCGCGACGCAGTAAGATGCTCGCAGTTGTGATACTTGTACCTATTAGGCTAATCGTAACGTATAGATATTGTGATATTGGCTTTAACGTTGGACGAACCAACGAACCTTCCTACTGTCTTCCAATTTATTAAGAAAATAAATAATACTTCTAAGCCCAACTGTCCCGCGTCGTTTACTACCACCCTACCAAACAATCGATCATTGCTCAATGATCGAGTTCTTGATTGAGTTCTTGATTATAGTCGCTTAGTCAGAGGTTCATGTCGGTAGACTCGCGCGGTGCTTGGCTCGTTCGCTAAGATCCATAGTAGTCGCTATCCGAATATTCTCGGTGCGCGAAATTGAAAATTTGTATGAAATTCGGAACGAGACGAACGACTCGTTGAACGGAACGGAATCGTTTAAGAGACGTTTTACAGTAATTTTCTCGGAGCTAACGCGTGTCGTGGGAGAAAGCTGAACGTCCGGTAGCGTAGTCAACGACGCTTCCATTCGTTGTACTTATAATTTTTTCTTTTTTTTTTTTTTTTTTTTTCTAAGACTGCAGACTTTATAGTCGCGTTCGATACTTTAACGAGGCTGAAAGTACCACGCACGCGCGACCCGGGACCAGAAATCTGCAGAATCTGGCCTTGGGGTAGGTCGCGTCGGGTGAGGGTCAAAGTTTGATCCAGAGAGGCAGATTTAAATTGTAATCGATCGGCAGCTTTGAAACTCGATTACGATCACGGACATTTGCGCGTTTGATTGTATCAGGGAGGCATTCAATTCGGGATTCAATGCTCAGGGATGAGTCACTGCGCGACAGAGGGTAGCTAGGGCCAACCCCATCCCCTAAATTATTCACCCCAGGTATCATCGATGTATCATTACGAGCTAGTCCCACGGTTTCGCACGGGCGGTATAACGTTCTTCCTGCGCGACGTTTTTTCGTATAAATGATGGTATTCGGGGAATTTTTGAGTTAAAGAGAAATTAAAAAAAAATATATATAGGAAATTCGTTCTCTTTCGTTCGGGAATTTTCTGCTCGCGAACCG